AAATAGCTGGTGAGAGCCGGCACGGGGCTGCGACGCGATCGGTCGGTCGATTTAATTAAGCCGGGTTAGCGGCAGGACGAGGAACGATTCTTTTTTCCACCCTAGCCTTTTCGTTGCTCGTTAGAGTTTCAATTTTTTCAATCGCGCTAAAATGTTTGCCCGTGCGAGCACGACTCGGAAAACTTTCCTCGTCGCAGGAGCGTGCTCGTTTGTGCGTCGTCGTGCGACAACTACGGGCAGAAAGAGGTGGAAACAAAAAACGAAGGAACCTGGGGTACTGTTGACTCGTCCCTGCTTGTTTTAATGACGTCGAACGCGTCGGTCGACGTCGTTACGACGAAAACGACGACCAGCCGTCGCGTTATCGAGAACCTAAATACGAGCTGCGCGCGTTAAGCCGATTCCGCGTTCCTTTACTCGTGGCTAAGCTTAATGCGCCCCCTCGACCGTGAAGAAATATCGAGTAAGCGGGGATCAGAGATTCGCTGGGAAAATTGAAAGAAAATGTTATAATCCTTTCGAACAGAAAATGTTTCCTTCATTTTCTAGTTAGCAACGGGCACGTCGTTAATAAAGTAGAACGTTCATAATCGAGGATACACGTGTTTTCGACGATGAAATTTCATCGGTTACCGGTGTATTTTCGTGTTGCGGTGAACGAAAGCCGCAATACGGCATTGTAACTCGCTATTAGCACTTACTCGAGAGCAAATTCCATAACGATGAATGGCTGAAGGAAACAAAAGGTCCTACCTCTGAATACCAGCTCTGATGACACGATTTATTAAACGGAAAGTGATTCGTTTTAACAATGTAGTGGCATATTGGAAAGGGCCAATCTCGGTTACCCAAATTCAATATTATGTTCCTATAATTATGGAGCAAACAGAAATAAACAGTAATTGATACTGTTTCAGAGATGTTAATTAAATTTATAATATTAAGCTACTTAATGTTACATAAACATCAATATTAAACAATGTCATCCATAATTAATCCGATTATTGCAAAACTGAATACGATCCGGCACTGAACTGGCCTTTGATCCACTGATTTTTTGCAAAATGGTATTCACAAAGTGGAAAAGGATGGATCAATTTTCAAAAAAAAAAGGAAAGCGTAGGACAGACGGATTTCCGTTTGGCCGATTAAACGGAAATCCGTGTAAAGGACGCACGAAAGAAGCTTACAGGATCTGTTTCGTTGGTATCGATGATGACGGCGGTATTTAACCGACCGTGAAAATTTCTAGGTAAATTTCGAACGTAAATTTCTTTGGGGACAAAGTTTTTTAACTACCATCTAATTTTCGCTGAAAATTTTGAGAATACTTTGAAGTATTCCTTAAATCTTCTGTTAATTTGAAATAAACTACACGTGTGATATTCCAGGCGTTTTTTATCACACCCATTCATCGTCGATCAAACGGTCTTTTATTCACGTATAGCGAAATTGCGTTTCGTGCTTGAATCCTCCCTGAAAAGTTTTATTTCTCTTGAATTTCGATCAGCTTCAAGCGCGTTAATGCACCATTTCGATCGGTTGCGTCGCTTCGATAACACACAGCCGGTTGCTTACAAATATTTTCTCTGTTTTATCTGATTTATACACGCGTGGATCGTTCACTATCAAACTATTACACGCCCGATCGTCGTTTTTGCATCCATACTTTCCATTCTATTTAAAACGATCGCTGCAACGCTTTTTTTTAAAAAAACTTTGCCTCTTGTTAATCGAAACTATTACCCCAACAATCACACATTAACGAGCACAATGGTTCTTTGTTCACGTTACGATTTTCGCATAATTTCCACTCGATTTACCTTCGGTTAATTATTCCTTGGGTCATTGGTTTCAATCGACCAACTTTGTACTACGATTCCCGATTATCGAATTGATTTTAGATCGGACGTCGATATCGAGCTACGATAACCGCGCTGACACTGAGTTTCAATTACTGCGACAACACTAGCCGATCCCGCGTGTAAACGCAGCAATTATTAATTAACCGAGCAACCGTGTAACGATGGTTAATCGCGCTACGCTTCAGTTGAGCCGATCGCGACCCGATTCTTTCAATGAAACATCGCTATGGTATTCGGTACTGGAGATATTAGATATTAGGTATTTTCAATTTCCCATACTCCAAAAACATTTAATCCTCGCGTCGAATATCAGTCGATTTTAATACGAAATTACCCACCGATCTCGTGTTTTCATACACCCTGTGATTAGAGAGGAAGGGTCGCGTGATCCGATAGTTCTGTAAAAACATGCACCGGCATAATATAGTGCCCTAAGCTGCATATCTTCTTGGATCAACGTATTAAGTACCTTTCACCGAGCGAATAGCATGCAGCACAATCGGTGTACTATAATTTTGATGGTTATACGATGTTTTCGAGGGTACTAAAATCCCACCCCTATCGACGTAGAGGCAAGTAAGACAAGTAAGATGGTAAAAGCCTTTTTCCTCTTCTTCCTTACTTCTGTTTTTCTTTCGACCGTTTCGCTTTTCCTCTTTTCCCTTCTCGGACAATTTTCTTCTCCTAGTTCGGTCGTGTCTACATTCTTCTTTTTCTTCCCTGCCTCTTTCACCGGAGATCGTAAGATAAATTGGTTGGCACGGTTCTGGCCGCTCGAAACTTTCACGATATTTCCAGCGTTAGTTAAAATTAGTGGAGTATCGCGGACGAAAAGTCTGATAATGTTATCTTCCCGTTTCCGTCCGGCTCCTTCCTCATCCTGATAACCCCTATCTCTGTTTCCGTTTCAACTGGACGCGTCCCTTCGTCTCCAGTCTCTCTACTTCTTTAGCATTTCCTTTAGAAATATCTAAATTTGTATCGTGCGAATTCTCCATAAAACCATCACGCGTTTCCAATAAAAATTCAACGCTCCTCGGTTAATTCCCCGCGGTATAACTTTTGGAACGACGCTTTCGTTTTGGACAATTACGCGGAAGTTTAAAAAATTCAGGCAAACGCGACGAGATTTAAAAGATTAACGAATATAAACGTCTGTTTTACATTTTGCGCGGTCGTACCGTGTCGTTTACTCCAACAGTCAAACAAACGAGAGCAGAGAATTAACGTAATTAGCAATGCCTCCCTGATTGTACCTGTTAAAAAAAAAATGGCGGGAAAAACGACACGTTACGTGTTCCTAAAATTTACCTCGAATTAAATCCTCTCCCCCACCCCATTCTTCTCTTTGTAATGCTATTTATAATCTTTATTGGCCGTGTGTGTGAAAAGGGGTGGAAATTTCACGGGTGCTCAAACGTCGTCTCTCTGATAGATATAATCGTATAATTTGAATCAAAGGGATGGCACTTGATTAAATAAATGGTACTTTTCACCATTTGATAATGATAAGCTGGTACGATGAATTTTTGTTCTACGAACGGACGCGATGTTTTCAAGTTCCTCTATCAGATGCTCGACTTCCTGTTCCAGGTAAAATTGCAAAAATTCTCTACACTGACTTGTCCAGCCAGCAGAAACTGTTTAAATTACTTTCAGTCGAGGGGACGTTTAAAAATTTTTCAGCTTTAATTACGAACTACTTGAACATTCGAGTAATTAAAGTAGAAATCTCGGGGTGCCGACGACTGTCTAAGAGGCGGCAAGTCACCTCTTAAAATTTACGTTACCTTCTCTTCTTTTTTCCTTCCACTACTTTTTCTTGCCTACCGCTTTCCAATTTCCAATTTTATCGCCAACTAGTCATCGGCTATCCCGAACAAAAATTTCATCATCGATCGAAGCTTTAAGAAACAATAGGATCGCTTGACGAGCAATCTTCCTGTTCCTGACACGAAGTGAAACGAACTTTTTTCTTATAAATCGCGAACCTCTGGAAAACACGATAAATTGAACGAATCTAAACCGAAGAAATCACCGTGCACTCGATGTTCTTCGTGTAGTTCTCGTTCAACGTCTGAATGAATATCAATTCTTGCTTAAATTGCCGGAAATTAAATGAAAATTTACGGCATCGAAGAATCTGATTCGACCATGTAGATTGATCGTGATTATTTAGCGCCGATTGCATTTCCGTGCTGATTAATTAAAATTGACTAACGCGCCGATACGATGAAACACCGCTGTGTGGGTGGCTACGAGGGAAACTCGTTGTTTATTCAGAGACAATGGAAAAGTTTCGGGTATTGGGAACTTTACATCGAAACACCAGCTGTCGACGTTTCCTATTCAAGTTTCTTGATTGTTGTTACAAATTGCTTTTTAACGCTCACAGCTGCGGTGGAAACGACCGTAAGTAGTACAGCTCGGTAATAATACGGGCTATCACGAATATCAAAGATTTGTTTATTTATTTCATTTCCATTTGCTAATTATTCGAGTGAATTGAATTTGTAGCATTAATTAGCAACGATCCCCGCGGCAATTAATGCTTTAAACGTATGTTCCTTCAAAGTTCAAAGACCTCCCTCGCTTCGAGCATAAATTAATTATTCTACGCTATTTCGGCTATAATTCGTTTAAACGAGTGCCAGACGTGCCAAGTGGCCAAATGATCGCCCATTCGTGAAACCTCTTGCAAACGTAATGCAACGTCAAGTTTAAGAGCAATTATCCTAATTGTCGTAATTGCAGACACGGCAGAGAGAACGAGACTCGCGATCATAGAAGCTGATCAAGAACCTCTATCGGATTTCTCCTCTAATCCGAATCTCGCAGTAATATTTTTCTCTTGAATTTAGAGAAATAATTGCCAGCTGCTATAAAGTATCGCTTCGCACAACAGCTTCAGCCTCGATTCTACAGACCGATACAATTACCTGAACCAATTATAACGCGAAGATATTCGAACAATGAGAAAAGAGGGACAAAGAAACAAACAACAAGAATAACAAGAAAAGATAGAAACAAAGGGCGTGGAAGAAAAAAGATCGTGTACAGGCAGAGTAAGCCGTAACACAAATTCCAGGACGGTTCGTTAGAGGCAAGAAAAGAGAGCGTAGCGTGTGTTCGTACCTTGAGAGCGGGCCACGCTTCGTTACTCATCCGTCGAGAGGACCTGAAACAAAAACGGCAACGGATGCAATTAGACGCGAGGATCCGTGTCGGTGCCGGAGCGTGTTACACGCGTACAACTTGTGTACATTGGCGAGCATGGATGCTTACGTTTGATAGGGGCTGTATTACTCCAAAGTGGATTACGATTCGCAAAGTAGATGATAAATTCTGATAGAGATTCATACGCAATCCCATATGAATTATAATGTGTCAGAATCTAAGAGATCAACCAGATACCTGGTCCTCGTGTACATTATCCCTTAACAGGAAGAAGCATCCGTGCTCACCGGTGTACCAGCTCGACCAAAAGCCTGAGAGAGGAAGAAGGAATAAAGAAGAAGGAGAGAGGAGCGGTTCCGCTACCACAAGTCGGATTTCCTATTGAATTTAGCCGGGCTCACGAGAGATCCGTAATATTATATCGCGGTCTACCCTCATTTGCGCACCCCCGAGGAATCCATTTCCGACTTTTCTCCGTTCCCGGTCCGTGCCGCTGCGCCATCGCGCCATCGCGCCATCGCGCCATCGCGACGCTTTGGGGTTCCTCTCTTCGTCATCCGCCTCCTCCGCCTAGCGTTCTACGAGTAGAAGAGACCTCGTTTGTCACGACTTGTTGTGCACTGTCGTTTTCCTATTCGCGAATGTTCTCTTATACCGTTCGACTCTGTTGATGCGATATTGTGCCGTGACAAGTTTGAAAAATCGTAATGACTTCAAAATTGCCTTCGATATTTGGTATTTTATATATGGAGTATTTTCAAGTGATCAAGATAGTTTCTTTTGCGATTAAGGGAATTTCGAAATGGAAAGGATAACGCATAGTCAAGAGGGTGGATTTATACGCGGATATTTTTCAATTGGAACGTTATACTCCGCGGGTGTGTCTTCGAGGAGAAAACGGCGCGAGACAAAAGTTCATCCTCGAGTGGCACGCGCCAAGTAGACCGATGCACCCTTGCGGTTGAGTAATGCTCCATTTCTCTGCCAGGTGAAGTTCATAAATAAATGTATAGCTCGGAAGATTCCCGGCAAATACAGCGAACTGACTGGCTGCGCTGCTTTCTCGAGAGCTTTGGATCGGAAATGAACGGTAACGACCGAAAGATGGAGCGGCTTTGTATTTTTGAAGCGAACCGCGCCACGAATTATTCATACGTTGTGCGCTTCGAGCTCCTTTGGCAACGAGAATTAAAACAAAAAGTGCTGCTTTGCATTTCGGATGATCTTCACTTTCGACCTCTACTATTTATCATAACTTGAAATGTACCAGTTCCTGGCTGAATTGCTTGATCTTTTTGGTATTGCTTTATTTTTGCCAGTAGTACAAGTAAACGGTTTAGCAGACGACGGTAGAAAAGGCAATGCTCTGTCAGGGCGAAGTTAAATCGTACTTCCATTGGAAAAATAGAAAAGACAAGTGTCTCTTAGCGGTTAGTTGTAAGCAAGCGATACATTCGGTGGCGTGACAACGAATCGAGCGTACGTTTCGCCGGCAAGTCCTCCGGTTCAGCTGGTTTTACTCGCGTTCCCACTCGGGGGTAATCGTGAATGCATGTCGACTGCGAGCTACTCTTCGCTTGGAAACGTTTTCCATCGGTCGTCGAGTGGAAGCGACGATAGAGAGCAACCCTCGCCACCTCTCTTGTCCTCTTGTCCCAACGCTCCTACTCGCCGAATGATTTACGCGATCCGAGCTTTATCGCGGGTTTACGGTGCGTGCGTTCGAGCATACTACTTTTTTTTCTTCTCTTTCTTTCTCCCTTTTTCAACCTCCTACACCGGCCGCTATTCCCTTCCTTTTTTTTTCGCGTTCGTCACCGCCTCCACCACCTCCTCCTCCTCCTCCTCCTCCGCTTCTAATTAACAATGTCCCCACGCGTCGCTGGTTCTGCGGTCGTAGCGGCGAAAATAAAAAGAAAGGAATTCACCGCACCAGCTAGAAGCTTTTAATGAAGCCAGCCGCGACGTACGGCTGCATCCAATTGGGACCAACTGGTGCGTCCATGCGAGACGTGCTCGCTCTTCTTCCGTCTTTTATCCAACGTTTCTCTATCCTTGCCACTTCGACCGCCTACCCTCCCCCGTTTTCTACCTTTTATGGATCGTTTCGTCTTATTACCGCGAGACAGTTCGACGACCGATAATCGTTACCTCCTAATAACGCGGTTCATCCTTCGTTCAATTTCCTCTCGAGCAAGTATTTTACGTAGGACAGAAAAATACATCCCCGTGGTTATTACACCAAGAATTACTCTCATTTCAAGCAGACAGCACCATGCACTGACCCAACAATAGGAATCGCAGATAGTCGAGAAGGGGGAGCCGTTTTTAAACGCGGTTGCGGTAGCCAGAATCACAAAGAACACGACGACCCCGGCCAGTACACGTCGATCGAAGAGACAAAAGGGGAAAAGCAAGCAAGCGAGCAAGCCAGCGAACATCGTTCGCTGACTCGAAACGGGGCCGTGAATCTCAGCCGTTTTTGGCTCGCAATTATTTTTTACTGGTGTACCGTAAATGGAGGTCGCGATCGAACGAGAAACGACCAACGAATCGTCAGGGTGCCACGGCTGGGGTTGGAGAAGGAAACAAAAGGATTCGCGAACGGTGCTCTTTATTTCCGGCGCTGGGGCTACGTTATTATCAGCAGACGATGCTCGAATCGTCGCACACTACCGCGCGATATTAGAGGGGAAAGGAGGCTGTAACAGGGTGAGAAGAGAATTAAAGGGCGAAAAAATGAAAAGAACGACAGAGGACAAAGAAGAGCCGATTAACACGTTCCTGACCGCAGTTTAAGTCCTAAATCCCTCCGACGCAAACCTTCATTTTTACTACTTCTACACAATATGCTACCAATTTTTACGAACGCCTTTAATTCACTGCGTTATTCTGAACAATCTCTATTTGGTCGAGGAACAATTTTTATTTAATTATTCGATCGAAAATGTAAAACAAAATGTCTGACGAGAGGTATTAGATAAAAATTCGAAGAATGAATAACCAACAAAAAGAGAAACACCAATCAAGCAGTAATGGGGATGATAAAAAAGAAGTGCAGGTGGGAGGTAAAAAGATAAAGCAGACTGGACAGGAAAGGATGGAAAAGAAAAAAGGAAAGATCCAAAAGAGGAAACGTACAAAGCACCGGTACACGATACAATAAAAACGAGGTCAGTGAAGAGAAGGATGGACAGGGCAAGAGAAGAATATAAGCAGGAAATGAAGTTATAAAAGTGAAGGGTAAAAAAGATAGAAAGAGAGAAGGGAAACGGAAGCTTCCTTATCGCGTGTATGCGCACGCATCCCTTGAATGCGAATGCATGCGCAGATTTTATTGAAACCACTGGTCCTCTTTTAATTGTTCCCCCATATGACCGGCGTTATTTGCATAGTTGCTTTAACAGAGGAAAGCCTGGAACAGAGGAAGAGGAAGAGGAAGAGGAATAGCGAACCGGAAGAGAAGGACTTGGGGATCGATATGGGTCGGCTTAAAGCGTTATAACGTAATCCTTCGGGCGAAAAACGAGTAAAATATCGGCAACGAACGAATGGTTAATTCTATTACGGAACCGCGTGGGAATTCGGGACGAGTGAACAGCGAGAAAAGAAGAGGTGGAAAAAAGAGAAGAAAATAGGAACACGAAGAAGAAAAGTTGCGAGAACGAGAGAAGGGGAAAAAATTTCGCGAAATTTAACCCGCTCATTAAAGTTGCCGACAAAGTTTCGCGGTTATTGCTGGAAAAAAAAGAAAAATTCGATTTACGACGGGAAAAGTAGAGGTTCACCGATATAAAATATGCTCGAGATCGAGCACGATTTCTTTTTATCGTAACTATGTGTAAGTACAATAAAAAAAAACAACCGGATCGTTGAAAGTTCTCGTTTACGAAAATTATATACGCCCGATGCTGTTCAAACTGTTTCTGGTATTAATTCCATTAAGAGGTTTATTCGACCATATTTACACGAGGAATTATGTAGGTCAATATATTTTTATCGAACGATAATCTTTCAACAAATAAAGTGTGAACATAGTGCTGCTTTGAATTATTCAGAAAATATGATAATATATTGAATTTGATGGTAGTCGTCTAGACGGCGGAGCAATTAACGTTCCACTTTAATCCAGCCTCTAATGTGGTTTCAAAGAAACTTTACAATTTCTCGGAGAGAAAGCAGAATGACTGGAAGGATTTCAATGTTCCTTCGTCAAAGCTGGAAAACGTTCCTGTGCGCGTGTAAACATCCAAACAGTCTCTGTATTCCAGCTAAAAGGTTAATTAAAATTAAATGCTAATTAAAGATGCCGAGCCGCGCATTTTTCCGCGGTTAGAGCGGTGGTAAACACTCGAGGTGGTCGGGAAAATTACAAGGGAACCCAGTGGCGAGGGAAAGCGACAGTTTTCCCTGGCAAACTGTTTTTTCAAGTGGAATTTTTCACCGAGTTATGCTGGAAACTTTGTTATTCCATCGAAACTTTATCCTTAAAATTATCAAATTTAATTGCTAATTTATCGGGACCGATCTTTTTCATGAGGAAACTCGTGGGTAACCGGAAGAGGCTACGTTGACGGAAGGAATGAAATCGATTGATATTCATGGTCGATTGGCTGGAGGCGTAGCACTAATCAGGATTTTTGTTCGTTCGTTTGGATCAGCTCGATCAGCGGGTTCGTTTTCGAGACAATGGACCGAGTGGTCGCCTCGCGTCCCGAAGAATCAGATCCCGACGACCTGGATATTTTCAGCGTGTTCTTTCACCGGGATCACGAAAATTCTACCAGCAGAAACTCGACGAGAATATTCTGATTCGAGAGAGGATGTAAGAAAGGTGAACGGCAGAGGATGAATGGCGAGTTTTATGACGCAGAGCTCGCGACGTCTGACCATAGCCGCGACTAACTACTGCGAGACAACGAAGGGAAGAGAAGCGTTTGAAAGGAGACGCGAACGCGGTAGGAAAGCTGGAAGACTTGAAAGGAGAGACCAGGTGAAAGA